TTTTGTTGTCTCACATGCATACACAATGGATGTATGGGTGGATTGTGATAAGAGTTGTACAAGCCCCCAATAAAATGATTTAATTATTCTTTTAAAAAATTCTCTTTTACAATTGACTCCAAGAAATATAGTTTTAGTATCCTTAATATCCCTGAGAGAGGTGTCTTAGCAGCATGTTCCCAGGCCGCCAGGTCCTGTCATTGTCCTTTGATTCCCCTCACACTCCCTCATGCATGTACTTCAGCAATCTAAGTTGACTCGCCAGTCCCCAATTTTAGAAATCCCACTTCTAACTTCTATGGTTGGCAGAAACCAACCAGAATATTGTGGCTACTGATCTTTATCTAAACCCTACAAAAATGTATGTGTAGATTGATTATTGTGTCTCAGATTTAGTGGTTTGATTTTTATGAGATGTATGGTTCTAGGTTCTATCCGTGTTGAAACCTTAATAAACTTCTTTGTTTTACTTTAAAAAAAGGGGGGGGGGGTGCTTCTGAAATGGACCCAAGAGCCAGGAACCAATGGCCTCCGATTCCAGGATTGCATCCTTGGGAGAGCACATGAAAATGTTTGAAGAGGGGTGAAGATATATAATTATGGAGCTAAACCAATTGGTGATTAATTGGATCATCTAAATTAGAAGCAAAGAGACCAGCTGAGTTCAGATGTGAGTGGGGACCTTCTCAAGCTAGGCATGATATGTAGAGGAGAACAAGGGGGAAGGGAAGAAGGGTAGGTGTGATGTTGCTGAGGTCAACTCAGTAGGGCTTGTGGATTAGAAGTGCCAAGTGACAATTGAGGAGGTGGGAATTGAGGATGGTGCCTGGATCCAGAATCTGGCTTCTTAGATGGTGGTTTTAAGTTGACAAGTATTTCTACTAGCGTTATAGTTCCTACATACATGGGTTTATTCAAAACAACGTATGTCTAAACATATCTCGGCAATCAGCGGATGGCTGGAGAACAGTTCTCTCAATAGTACACTTGTCTTAGTCTTGTGGTCGTGCCTTCAAAAACCTCAAGGTCTGGGGCAGTTACATAATCTGTAAACTTTCAAAGGGGTGGAGTCTAGCCTGTCAATCAGGTCATAGCCATTCCTGCCTCTGTGTAGGCATGGCCTTCACCTGAGGATTCTGGAACTCCTGTCTTCCTCCCTGGAGGCAAGACACACTCTCTCCCTTCGACATTCCTGTTGATAAGCCACATGGAGCTATGCTAGTGGAGCAAGAGCCCTGGAGCTGGAGGAGCCACGTAGAGACCCACACCAGCACTGAGATGCTTCCACAACCACTGGATCCACAAGACTTTCCACTCACTGGACTGTGATCTTCCTGCATTCAGTGGAATTGCGTGTGTTGCATGAATCTGAAGAGGACTTTATAGACTGGTATCAGATATATGGGCTAATATCAGACTTATGGCTTAATCTGGACTGGGCTGGGATGTTTTCTTAATATACAATCACTCTTTTATATAAATCTCTCTCTTACACACATCCGAGTCTCCCTAGATTTGTTTCTCTAATCTACCCAGACTAACACAAGGTCCAATCCAAACTGTGGCTTCCAAGGAGATCTGCTCAGCCTTAAGTTCAAGGGAGAAAGGTTGCCTTAGAAGGTTATGGCAGTAGTTTGGTTGTTTTTGTTCTGTTTTGTTTTATTTTTGGCATTCAAAGCTGTGCTCTTGATAGATTTTCTCAAAAGATACAGAATGATCACAGAGGCATGTTAGGAAGAAATCTCAAGAAAATTGTATGCTGTTCTGGTGATAAAACAGTGATGAAAATTGCACTGAGGACTTAATTTTTTTTTCTTATGACAATTCACCTGCTCATTCTTTGAGGGTAGTGAGGGCTGTCCATAGGGAATTTGCTGGGAACTCTTAACTCCATTTACCCTGCAACCCTAATCTTGCCCCTTGTGAGTTCTTGTTATTTCCAAAAGTCAAAGAACATCTAAAAGGAATAGCATTTGACGCCATTGAGGATTCCCAAACTGTCGTTTTGGCATGGTATAAATAAAGGAACTCTGAATTCTATGGAAAAGAGTCAGGTGGAAACACTGCCTAAGAAATGTGTGGACCTAAATACAGGCATGTACATATGTAAATGTATTTATATATGAGGATGGAGAAATAGACTTATGTGCATATATTTATAGGTTTAGTATTAAGGTAGCAGATGGACAGTGAGCCTCCACTCAAGTACTCCCTCAATGCAAAAATACTTTGTTCTATTAAACTGGCATTCCATGATGTTTACCTTCCTGACACGATCGCTGGAGACAAAGCAGGTGCATAAGCAAATGTGGTGAAGAAAGCTGATGGTGCCTGGCTATCAAAAGATATAGCATCTGGGGTCTTAAAGACTTGAAGGTAAACAAGCGGTCATCTAGCTCAGAAGCAACAAAGCCCACATGGAAGAAGCACACCAGCCTGTATGATCATGAGGTGCCAAAGGGATCAGTTATCAGGCATCAAAGAACCAAAAAATCATATCATTGTATGCTCACCTCCCAGATACAATAGCTGAAGACAAATGGGTGCATAAGCAAATGTGGTAAAGAAAGCTGATGGTGCCCAGCTATCAAAAGATGTAGAGTCTGGAGTCTTAAAGGCTTGAAGGTAAACAAGCGGCCATCTAGCTCAGAAGCAACAAAGCCCACATGGAAGAAGCACACCAGCCTGTGTGATTATGAGGTACCAAAGGGATCATGTATCAGGCATCAAAGAACAAAAAAATCATATCATTGTGAATGAGGGGGAGTGTGGGGTGGGGACCCAAAGACCATATGTAGGCAACTGGACATACCCTTACAGAAGGGCCTCAGGGAGGAGACAAGCCAGTCAGGGTGCAGTATAGCAACGATAAAACATACAACTTTCCTCTAGTTCCTAAGTGCCTCTTCCCCACCCACTATCATGATCTCAATTCTACCTTACAAATTTGGCTAGACCAGAGGATGTACACTGGTACAACTAGGAACTGGAAACATAGGGAATCCAGGGTGGATGATCTCTTCAGGACCAATGATGAGAGTGGTGATACCAGGAGGGTGGAGGGAGGGTAAGGTAAAGAGGGGGAACCAGTTATAAGGATCTACATATAACCTCTTCCCTGGGGGACGGACAACAGAAAAGTGGGTGAAGGGAGACATCAGATAGTGTAAAATATGACAAAATAATAATTTATAAATTATTAAGGGTTTATGAGGAAAGAGGAGTGGGGAGGGGGAGGAAATGAGGGGCTGAAGTCAGGGGCTTATGTGGAGAGCAAATATTTTGAGAACAACGAGGGTAATGAATGTACAAATGTGCTTTATACAATTGATATATGTATGGATTATGATAAGAGTTGTATCAGATCCCCAATAAAATGATTTTTAAAAAACAGAAAAAGAAATGTGTGGACCTAAGAGGAGGTCTAAGAGGTCGAGAAACCGTAGTTTCACATTTTGATATTTTTGTTTATTACGGAATTCTATCATTTTTCAGAACCCCTCTTTTTTCACTTGCCCTGGTATGTTTCATGAAGGGGAGAAAGGTAGAAGTAGGTGCGGGCAGTTGTAGCCTTGGCACCCAGCTGAGGTTAGTCCATGTCAGGTGTGAACCAGCTTTGGGGTCTCCCGGTGGAGAAGAAGTTCTAGGACACTTCTGTCTAAGGTAGACAGGTGCGAGGACAGTGTTTCCAGATGGGAGAAGTTGTGTTGACCCCTGAGGAGTTCATGAGTTCACCCTTTCCTGACTGCTGATCCTATGCCTCTTCTGTTCCCTGTCCAGTGTTTATCAGCTGGTTGTCAAGGAAGAGCGACTTCAGAAGTCACGGAGGGCAGCCGATATCGTTGAGTGCTTCTCAGTGCCGGTGAGCTACAGGAACGCCTCGAACGTGGATTCTCTACACTACTTTGCTGCCGAATTAAAGCCTGCCAACCTGCCCGTCACCCAACCATTTACAGTGGGTGACAACAAGACATACAATGGCTACTGGAACCCTCCTCTGTCCCCCCTGAAAAGCTACAGCATCTATTTCCAGGCACTCAGCAAAGCAAATGGAGTAAGTATGGCCACGCGACGTCCTTTCTTGCCTGGTTTTTGTCTTTCCATTCTCAAATGAGATTGTGGTAGGCTTCAAAGCAGAGGCCTTGTGGATCAGACTTGTGGATCAAGTCTGTGCCGCAGCAGCACAGTTGAGTTGTGACAGAAACGGTATGGTCCACAAAACCCAAAGTGTTGACTACCTGGCCCCTAATGGAAAAAGCCTGCTGACCTTTTTTTTTGTGACACATCGTATGACCTGCCTCAGAGGCCTCCTCTGTCATGCCTACCACTATCCATCCAAGCCCGGAGCACTGCAGTCCCTCATGATTATGAGCTCCTTTAGCATGACCGTTAGTCACATTAGAAAACATGTTTTCTCTTACAGAGAAGGTAACTGTAGATGTCAAATATTTCTTTGATCAAAGAAGTACCACTCACCTATGAAAATCTCAGAGTTGGCAATGGGCTTAAGGCCATGCAATAACTACCCGGTCCCCTCACACACAGAGACAACAAGGTGCCAATCAGCATGAGACTATCACAGTGAATTAATGTTGGTGCTTATCCTTAAACATCTCCAGTGGCAGGGAACTCACGTCCTGTTAAGCCAAGCTTGCTGATTTGGGGTGCCCTGTGAGTCGAAGGGAGCTTTATACTGTGCTAAGTTGAAAACTCTCTCCTCTTGTAGCTTACATTCACTGTTCTTGGCCCATTCTCTCCAGGTCTCATAGAAACCATGTCTTCTCCTCAGGCATCCCTTCAGCCACATAAAGATCCTAAAGACTCTTTTCCAGCGCCCACTTTCCCTTTATCCCCGCAGCCCATTTAGTCTTTTCTGGATCCCTCACATCTTTAGTCCCTGTAATGATACACGTTTTCATACCACCCTCTTGGATGTTTGTTTGGGTGGATGTATCTCATTCTATGCTAAGCATGAGGTAAGCAGTAAGGTTATATACTGTGTGCCCTTTGAGAACTTATAGAAATGTAAGGGACTCTGGCATGTGTTATGAGTGTGAAGCTCGCTGGGGGCCTGTGACAAAATCCAGGTTTGGTGAAATATGCAGGGAACAGACTGTGAGGTTCTGGATGGCCGGGAAGAGTGTTCCATCTGTTGGTGGCAGCCATTGCGTGAAGAGAAACCTGGATTGAGGCACTGATTAACATTTAGAATGTCCACGTGCCCATTTAAATTCCACATTGGTATTTCACTTCTGCATTTATTACTGGCTCAAGCAACACACCTTACAGAGAGTATACAACTACAAAGAGAACCCGCCAGACTGCCTTCCACCTGGGCGGGTGGTCTTCCCTCGGGAGGAGGCACGCTGATGTATTGAAGAGGGAGACATAACGATGGGCAGAGGCATCTGGGGGCCCATCTTGTTCTTGGATCTCTGCAGCCCAAGGCCAGCTGTTCACTGGTTTAGCCCAACTCTCGGAGAAGATGTGTCTTTCTTCGCCCTTGGTACCAGATCATGATGTGTCATCAGGTTTCCAGGCTGCGATGGGTCAGAAGAAACTGAACTCCATTTGTCCTGTGCTGTATGCTCAATGAGATACCCCTAAAACCTTGCAAGAGGCAAGTCTAACTGGCAACATCACCCCATGAAGGAATTTCCCCACCCTGGGCCTGACTGTGCTGTGAGCAGTAGAGCAGATGAAGCGTGTGTGTGTGTGTGTGTGTGTGTGTGTGTGTGTGTGTTTGGGTGTGTGCCCCTCCCCCCCATCACCCTGCATCTCCTTTGCTCAGGACATGGGGCTCTGTGACCCAGAAGAGAAGTCACCCAACTCCGATGCTGAATCTTC